AAAAAAAAAAGTTAAAAAAAAAAAAAATGTTTAAAGAAAATTTCCCCAAAGTCTTCATTGCATTTTCACCAATAAAATATACTTCCTATTATTTGTCCCAAGTAACCCACTCCTCTAAAATTAGAAATCATTTTATGTATCATGTGGATAATAAACTTAGCCTTGCATATATTTCCCACTTTTGCTAACTTGTAAGTATAAAAAATCTTGTAGTAGTTAAATTTGTATGTCAAGTTGGCTAGGCCTGGTTGAGTGGCTGGGCAGCTGGATGTAGTATTCCCCTTGATGAAACTGGCAATCAACTCCATGGTGGAATCTACTGTGAGCAGCTGAGTAGCTGCCTTAAGGATGTGGGCTGTTTCTTGTATATAAGGAGGAGCCTTGGGGAATGGTCTCTAGCTTATGGCACACTTGAACCCCACATGTAGCCATGTCATTGTTCAGCAGCCTGCCATGCTCTGTCGATTTTGGGACTCACAATGGACTTGAATTAATGGCCCACCATGTGATTTGGTAACATCGGGACTGTGCCCTTTTACTTGTCAGCTTTGGGTTTGTCAGCCTCAGCAGCCAGCAGCTGAGTGAGGAAAAGCCTCCAGCTTCCGTGGGCCGGGAGCAGGAGGCAGAACTGCAATGGAAGGTTGAGGGGCTTTCACCCATCCCCTGGAGCCTGGCACTTTGAACTTGAAATTAAAGCCTCCAAACTGTAAGAGTATAAACTGTTAAGGCCATCCCATGTGTGATATATTCCTGTCAGAGCGGCAATACGTAACCAGAACGAATCTGAACTTAGGGATTAATTTTTCCCCCAGGAAAATTTAGCGTGTAGGAGAATGTGGAAGAAACAGGACACCTATCCATCAAGCTCATTCCGTCTTCCTCCTGGTACACAGCTTCACTACATTCTCAGTCTTCCTGGAAGTTAGGTGTGTGGCCAGGTGACTAGGTTCTAGGCAATAGCATGTGAGTGAAGGAATGTGGCCACTTCCAGGTCTGGCCCCAAAAAAGCCTGGAAGCTCATTACGCCTTCCTCCAGCTAGACATCAATAACTAGGAAGTCCTTGGAGATCATAATGGAAGAAGGCACAGGCCATGAGCCTGAGATCCTGACTGACTTCTCTGCTCCTGTCCCCACACATGCACCTTCCTGAAACGCACCCAGTACCACTGAGTCAATTCTGACTCATAGTGACCCCCATAGTGTTTCCAAGGCTATAAATCTACATGGAAGCAGAACTGCCTTATCTTTCTCCTGCAAGCAGCTGGTAGGATCGAACTGCCAACCTTTTTGTTAGCAGTCTTTAACCCTAGCACCACCAGAGCTCCTTTACCTGAAACCACCTTGTGTTGTTTTTCCGAGAGAGAAAAATAAACTTCAGTTGTGTCAGAGCCATTATACATTTTTGGCTCTATGGGTTATAGCACTTAGCCTGTCCCAATTAATATAGGGACTGTGGCATTGGAAATTGGAAATGGAAATAAAGATAACTGAACCAATAGATGGCTCAATTTTTAACTGAAAAAGAACGGGAAAATATATTTGGTTTACACAGTGTGCAGAGTCTCAGGAATAAAACAGATGCAAAACTCTTACCAATACATCTTTGCCTCCAGTTAATCAGCTGAGACCCAGTTTTTCACGACACATCCCAAGCATAGATGTTTCTTCTTCTCTCCAGAGCCCACTTCAATGGAGCAGGCTCACTTCACCACATCACAGGACCAAAAACAAGATGCTGTACAGGAAAATGGAATTCGACCTTTGGAATAAAGTTGCTACAGGAATCCAAAATATAATTAGCATTATCACTGGGATGATATTGAACCAATGTTTACTCCTCAATCTCTTAACTTACTGTTGTGCATAAATAGAAACAGTTTTATGTTAGTCTAAGTCAAGGAGCTCTGGAGACACAGTGGTTAAGAGTTCAGCTGCTGATCAAAAAGTTGATGATTCAAATCCACCAGCCTCTACACGGGAAAAAGATATGGTAATCTGCTTATATAAAAGATTACAGCCTTGGAAATCCTGTAGAGCAGTTCCATTCTGTCCTAGAGAGTCTTTATGAGTTCGATTCAACAGCAATGGGTTTTGCTTTTAAGTCTAAGATGCTCAAACTTTCAACTCAATAAATATTTTTTTAATTGCATGCAAAGTAATACGACAGAAACTGAAATGAATTAGAAATTGACCTTGACCTCAAATATCTCTTGATAGAGTATGAGAGAAAAGGCAAAGACACAAATAGCTATCCCAACAGTCCCCAGGTTATGAAAGAGATCTATTCCTCAATGTATCTTTAAGTCAAATTTGTAGTTAAGTAGGAACAGGTGCATATGGTTCTTATTTAGCCTTATTTTAGTACAAGAAAAGTCTTGGAGTCTTTTCCATGATTTAAAAGTTGCACATGCAAGTGAAGGTGATTGTGATGAAGACTTTGTTGTGAGTAGGACTTGGTTCAATGATTTTGAGGTGAGGGGACATTTACATAATATTAACAAGCAGGTACAAATAGTCCATAAGGACATTTGTAACCCAGGGACTTTCATGTAATTTCATATAGACTTTGATGAAATCTATAGTGGAAGTAAAAACGTAATGAAATCACAGAGAATGGAGGGACAAGAGACCTTGGACAAAACTTGCCAGAGGAGGTGGCATGTATGCTGAGTCTGCAGGTCATGCTAGACTGAGACTCGGAAGGTTGCGCAGGGGGGAGCTTTCAAGACCCAGATTAGCACAAGGGAAAACAGATGTTATGAGCACAAATCATAGGGAGTGAAAAAGTAGAAGTCTGGCATGGCCGCAGGAGAGGAAGCATGGAAAGGGTGAGAGGTCAGTGACCCTACACCTGGAGGCAAAGGACCTGGGGTTGAGCCTGTGTCCCCCATTTACTACATTTATGGGCTCAGTCTCCCGGAGACTAAGTCCCTCCTCTGTGAAACAGAGATAAGGATTCAACCCTCACAATGATGAAGATTCAAAGTGAGTATCTTGGATGAAAACTTCACCCAGCAAAGCCTGAAACTCTGCAAGAATTCAGTAAATGTTAGCTGAATCCCCATAGCTTTGACCTAATGCTTTCATAAATGAGAGGCCAATAAAATTTTTGAGTATGCAAATAAGATGACCAGAACTGGGCATTTGGGAATTTAATTCAGAAATACTGTTGGGTAGAATGAATTAGAGGGCAGACGTTTTGCAATAAGGAAAACCCATTAGGACATTATTATAATAGCACATCTTTCAGGCAATGAGAGCAAGAAGCACGGGTGTTGTGGTGGGAATAGGAGGGAGGTAATGAGCATGAGAGACTTAGTTGGAGGGAAAATGGCACTGGGTTATGTCATAGGACATGAACTGCAGTTCGGGAAATTAGGTTCTAATCCTGTGACTCTTTTCTCAAGTAGTGATATTATTTCTATTGAGTTACCTAACCTCTGTGGATTTCCAGTTTCTTTATCTATAAAATAGAGAGATTGGACTAGAAAATCACTAAGTATCAAAATACTTCATACCTATCTAAATCATAGGAGCTCTGGTGGCATAGTGCCTAAGGCACTTGACTGCTAACCAGAAGGCTGGTGGTTCAAACCCACCAGCCACTCCTCAGAAGGAAGTTTGGGCAATCTACTTCCGTAGTGATACCACCTCAGAAACCCAAGGGGGGGTTGCTATGAGTCTGATCTGAATTGATGGCAATGAGTTTGGATTTTTTTTTTTTTTTTGTTTTGGTATATAAATCATAAAACATGTAAGCGGATTAGATGAGCATGTAAAGACAAAGATAGGAAGAAATAAAAAATGACATGAAAGGAAAAAAAACCTTTGAACCACAGTTGGTGGTTTAGTAGATAATGCCATTGCTAGGAACAAGGAAGAGAGGGAAATGAATGGGTATGGAAAAGAATACCAAAACTAAACCAACCCACTGCCATTAAGTTGATTCCAACTCATAGTGACCTCCACTGGGTTTCCAAGGCTGTAAATCTTTACAGAAATAGATTTCCTCCTCTTTCTCCTACAGAACAACTGGTGGGTTTGAACCACTGACCTTCTGGTTAGCAGCCAAATCCCTTATGCACTGTCCACCAGAGCTCTTTGGAAGAAACTAGGATGAGTACAATTTCTAAAGGGTTGTCCTTCAAACAATTAGACAAGTGTTTTTATGAGTATTAAAAACATTAGTTACTTTAGATTATCTTGAATAATGTGCAATGAAAACAATTTTTTTCCTTTATAGATTCTTTTCATTGGAGACTCAACCAACAGGGGGATAATGTACTATTTGATTGAAAGACTGAATGAAACCCTGCAGGAATGGCAAAAGGTGCATGGCACTAAATTCTATCACAACGTCAATGGTGGGAAGACTTTGATCAGTTATTCCTACTATCCCCAGTTCTGGATAAGCCCTTCATTGAGACCAACATTTGAAAAAGCACTTGAACATCTCTTGCAAAGGTACAATGGAACTATTATGAATGGCACAATGCCACAATGTACTGATGTTTTACTAGCAGTTATAATTGCTCACTGTATATCAAATGTGCTGAAAAGCTTAGATATCAAGTAATGTAGCTGAAAATGAGCTGGAAATGACAAAGAGGTCCTGTGATCAGGATGCCAGATATGGTTCAATGAAATGTGAGGCAATGCCGTTAAAATGTTTACCATCTGTGTTAAGACAACATGTGTTGTTTTTCTTTCTGCATTTCAGATCACGTCCCCTAGAGAATACAGGCCAGACTGTACTCGTTGTTGGTGGTGTTCAGTGGCTTAATTCTTACCACCTGCAAATTATTCACAAGGTTTTGAAGAGGTAAGTTTCTGCAACAATAATTTTCATTAGTCTTCCAGGTTATTTTTTAAAAAAGTACTGTTTGATGTGACTGAATTTTATCAAGATTTTACATAAAGAGGAAGTTGGAATTAAGCATTTAAAGTCTAGTTGAAAATATTCAAAATACTTTAGTATTCAGTCACAACATGACTCATCAGTGTCCAAATTCACAGTTACAATAGATCAAGCATGTCTACTGACATATTAAAACACTATTCAGGGGGAAAAAAAAAACTCTAATATACATCAAGCCTATAAAATGGAAATTTAGTCCTATATGACAACTATGATGTTCTAAAAGAATTCCACTATATTTATTTGTGTAAATCTAGAAGTATAATATAAGTTCACAACTTTAGGATTCTGATTATTTCATCCAGGGAAAATTTACCCAATATCCTGGTTATCATCAAAACTTTGGGAATTGGATTTCATCTGCCAGTGGACGGAGTGCATTTTTTAACTAAGGTAAACCCCTTTCCTCTGGGATGTTTGAACTCTGTGGTTCCTATAAGGACCTCTGCTAGTGGCTGAAAAAAGAACTCAAAAGGTTCTCTAATATTCAGCGAAATTCAAACAAATCAAACAAGATAATATGCTTAAGGATTATGGTTTCAACTCAATAATATTCCTGGGACAAAGAGACTATAGGCAATAAATATGTCATAAATAATGAGTTCATAAAAGAATAAAAGGAATGTCCAACTATAAAAGAAACGAAACTGAGGGGAATACAAAACAGGTTATGCTTTGAGTATCCCCCTTCCCACCAATGTTTTATATACCTTTAAAGGCTATATCCAGAAAATAAAACCAAACCCACTGCCATCAAGCAGATTTCAACTCATAGCAACCCCATAGGATTTCCAAGGCTGTAAATCTTTACAGAAGCAGACTGCCTCATCTTTCTCCCATAGAGTGGCTGGTGGGTTCAAACAGCCGATCTTTTGGTTAGCAGCCCAGTGCCTTAACCACAGCACCCCCAAAGCTCCTTTAAAGGCCATATACCAAGGCAAAACCAAACCTACTGCCTAGTTGATTCCTACTTATATGACCCCATAGGACAGTAGAACTGCCCCATAGGGTTTCCAAGACTATAACTCTTTACAGAAGCAGACTGCTGCATCTTTCTCCCACATAGCAGCTGTTAGTTTTGAACCGCCAACCATTCATTTAGCAGCTGATGGCTTAACTACTGAACCACAAGGTCTCATTAAAGACTGTATAAAAAAAAATCTTTAATTTCTGAAGGTTCATACAGAAACCACAAAATAAATTGTCAATATCAATGAGTCTTTGGGAAAATAGTGCTCTTTTTGAAGATGGTATCAATTTGCTTTAAATATATCATCTTTGAAGTCATATCATTAATTTTTCCTCTGGCTGGATATTCAGAAATGAAAGGAGTTAAGGGTCTCTGACCAGTTCTTGTAGGAGACAGTAAATTAGTTTCAGCAAAGAAGAGAAAGACAACACCTGTAGGTAAGAGAACCAGATGCTCTGGTTTTGCAGGGAGAGTTCATGGGCAGCCTGGGTTTATGTGCGGTTGCAAAATTGTGACTTGTGGCTGCACTGGGAATTAGAGAGATAGGGGCTTGCCTTTTAACATACAGTCTGAGTGAGATTAATTTTTGTGTCAGTGTTAGGTGTTCCTAACTTTCCCCAGCACAGACTACACGGTTTTTTCTCCTTTCTCGAACTTTGCGTACCTGGGCCCCAGATCCATCATGCAAAACCAGGAGCACTGGTAGACAGGGGCCAAAGCAAAGCCTCAAAATTCAGCCTGTTGAGGTCAGGAGAGGGGTCAATTTAAAGGGAGTTGAACACCCGGGTAGCTAAAGGACTTGAGTCTTGGGGACTAGAAGAAGAGACTTTTGATAATTTTTCTATAGCTTCTGATTAAATCCGCTTCAGTGTTGTTTGAAGGCTGCAGGAGAAGATTACAATGCCTTTGTAATGATACTTGGGTAGCTCCACTCTGCTCCTTGGACTGTAGCTCTTTGCGAAAACTGGAGCACTTGTGACCTGCACTTATATTTAGGTTAGTAACACAAAATCAGTGCATTTCAACAGACAGCATTTCTTCATCACTTCTGTGATATACAGGTTTACTTGTGCATACGTACTAATCTGTAGTGAACAATTTCACATTTTTCACCACTTCAAAGATTCTGCTTGTAGGTATGGCTGGCATCTGTCTCTCCCAACTCCACAGCACCTTCCTACAGAATCAAAACCTATTTTCCAGTTTACAATCACTGCCAGGGATGGAGTACCCAGTGAACAAATGAAGCATGGGCTTATTTACAAGCCGTAGTGAACAGTTTTACATGTTTTTTGCTACAGATTAGTAAGGAAGCACCTTATACTTATATCTTGTTTGTTGGGTACTCCTCCCCACTGTACTTTGCACTAGGGCACTGGAGGTGCTCATCAGTCTTTTCAAACTGAGTGAAGACAAAGGAGGGAATAAGAGAAGGGAAAAATTGAAAGATGATACCAAGTGAAGGCAGAAAATAAATCTGACCTCCTCCTCACATGCTTGCATGGCCATTCAGGACTTGACCTCTGCCTTGTACTGTAGATTCATCCCTTGCCATCAGCACATATGTACACATGTGCACAGAGAGAGAGAGAGAGAGAGAGAGAGAGAGCACTACTGAACATGTTTCAGTTTCTCAAACACGTAGTTATGTCCAGGCCTTTGAAATCACTGTTCTCTCTCCTTAGAACTCACTCCCCACCACCCCTTCACCCGAGTATCTTCCAGTCTGTGGTGGATCACTTGGATCACCGGTCAGCAATTGCACATAAACCAGGCTGCCCGTGAACTCTCCTTGCATAGCCAGGTGTCAGTTCAGATGACACTTCCTTACAGAGACTTTCTTGACTCAGACAAAGTTGGCTACTCCTGCCATGCTGTTGTGGCAGTGACCAGTGTCCTCGCCCACTGCACTCAATACCAGAGTGAGCAATCAGCCCCCATCCTTGCTCTCACAGAGACTGCAGCCTAGCAGAGATAGACAACAATGTTCTTGACATGGTGGGGGTCAAGAAGGCAAAGCAGAGAGGAAATGAATGTGATCCAAAGGGGCAGCAGCTAGAGCCCTCACTCTACCCTGTTCCTCCCCATGGCACAGTCCCCTTATCCCCTTCCTCACCAATTGACTAGCAAACCTCCCAACTCTCTGCTCCTAAACCTCTCTTGAAGCCTCACTCTCCAACTCCCTCCTTGCCCCTAGTAGAGCCACACCATTTCTCTGCTGACCCAGAACCTGGTATACTTACCTCCAATAAAGGACTTACTAAATGTCTGTTTCTCCTAGTAGAATGCAATGTATTAAGAGCAGAGACAACCCTTATATTCCTGTCCTTCAGCACAGAGCTAAGTATTGCACTAACTATACCAAACCAAACACACTGCCATCGAGTCGGATCTGACTCCTGGCAAC